GACATCACTATCACCAGTACAAACAACGAACATGATATAATAGATAGTTAGAATTCTATCAAATTCGATGTACCAATATCATCATGGTATTGGTACATTGCAGCCAAAGATTGAGAGGTAAACATTTAATGCAGCTATAAAATTGACGTCATCACAAATATGTCAAATACTAGAAAGGGAAGTTCCACAAGAGTCCACTGAAAATGACTTCATCGTGTTCTGCTCATCACAGAAAGTGTATGAAGCCAGAAACATTGGGGGGGGGGTATTAGTTCATCACCGTCTCAGTATTAATTTTCACTCTAATATTATTATGTATTAACGTTACCATGGCAATCAAGATGAGGATTTAAGAAACAACCCGCCTTGATTGCATAAAATACTGAACTGAAGACGCCTGATAGAATATATTACAACTTAAATGTAAAAGCGACACACTGAGTGAACATGAACTTTCAGTATTTACATAGAAGTGATTCCTAGAAAGGGGTTAGTGCGAGGGATTAGCTGGGTGGGACCAGGGTGGGATAAACTGTAGAACCCTCATGGCGTATCATAGACTCAATAAAGGGGCCATTTTAGTTAGTGAGTATGGGAATAATAGATAACAACATTTCTCTCTAGAGGGCGCCTTTCAATCCACAGGTTTTGCTGAACAATTCCTTCGTATAAATAAACAAGTGATGTATATTACACGCATTGTATGCGTCGCTATGGGTCCATGCATAAACTAATACATTACTACTTCTTCATTACAAATACCATCACTGGCAGGTTCTATATCTCGATGTATACGTAGCAATCCATGGATGATTCATCCCCGAGGTCATGTGACACTATCTCATTATTTGTAGGTTATAGTGGTATTGGTGTGGGGGTAGTGATATTTTATAACGGGTATACACACAACTGGCACAGCATTTTCTGATACAACAGTTAAGTCTTACATCTTGTATTTATCTTTAAAAATTAATACAGAACAATACTGATTATTGAACACAGTACAAAATCATGTAAAAGAACATTGTTTACCGCTTGGCGTTGACTATTACATGATTTGTGCAAATTTTCACTGATTATTTAGGTAAATATATTCTTTCTTTTAAACGATTCCCTGACTGAAATCGTACGCGTGTTTCGTGTTGAAGGGCAAATTTCCGCCCAGGCAAACTTTAAAGTTCAATTTGATAACGCAAAATCGTAATTTTATATTGTAATCATATACCTAAAAGTGTTGGGTCCATGGCCATTTACACCAATTGTGCCGTTAATGCTTGGTATTCACTCTGATTTACTTATTGTTGTCATGACTACACATATACGGATACATCTATTTAATCTCAGGTACAACATTCCACCAAAGACGATTCACGCCACTCAGATATGTAAACCGTCGATAGAGGGCACACGTCACAAAGCGATCGGCTGATGGCGGTGTCCTAAATGTACACCATGACATCATGTACTATTTTTAGCATTTCCCAATATACTGTGTACAGATAATCCGACTTGATCCCGAGTTTGATTGGCTAATAAGGTGAGTATTTCGCAATTGCCATGGTGCCAGTCGATGACTCATCAGCCAGATTTAGCAATTTGGAGCCATGTGTTTACCTAAATTTGTGTATAAATTCTGCTGATGCTACCTAGGTAAATTATTAATATGATGACGAATATACAGATAAGTACTTCAAAGAAGACGAGTATTTCCAATACAGCGATGGAACACGATTCTTCTACGAGAGAAAACAGCAACAGGTTCGTATTGATGCGCTGATGAACGCATTCCTTCATTTCGTATGACAAATATTCCTTCCTGCTATCAGTCGATCGTTTTC